TGGACTTTAAAAATAAAAATTAAAAATATGCAATTTTATTTTCTAGTTTCCAAATAAGTTAAGGTATATTTTATAAACCTTCAAAGTATTTTAAAAAATAGCGTATGTCTTCATTATCATATTCTCCACAACCATACGTTTTGGTCACAATCGCAAAACACCTCAAGTTATGTGTACTCACCAAAAAGTCGGAATTTTGTCATAACGTAAATTGTTTATATAATGAAAGAGTCAGTTCTTGGCAAATTGGCATTCTGTACTTGTAGAATATCTAGTTCTATATGCTCTAAGAGTTTACAATTCTTCTCCATTGGGTTCTATTGTGCGCTGCTTCCTCCTACTGATTCTGCATACTTATTTCTTTTAAGTTTTTATGGGAAATATCCTTGTATTAATTTGTATTAATTATGCAAGCCTGCTGTTCTTTTACTTTTCCCTGTAGTTGACGGACGGAGAATATGGAATCGATGGTGCCGCGGTTGGTGCGAAAACCCGTTTGCGCTTCTGGGAAGATTTTTTGTGGGTGCAGGCGGTTTTGCATAATTTTTGCAAGAATTTTTGCTCCCATAGCCAGTAGTGTAATTCTCCGGTAGTTTCCGCCATGTTTCCGCAGTCTGACGCCAACTTCTTTGTTCTTAAATATATTCACTATATTCGCGTTGCGAAAGTCCTGAGGTACCTCACCGCTTTACCATATGACATCGAAGAGAACCTTAAGATGACCAATGACTTCTTTGCTTGCACACTTATAGATTTTCGCCGGAATTGGTCACAGCTAGTTGATTTGTTGTTTTAAGCTGTTTTATTGACCAGTTGATTTGTTGTTTTAAGCTACTTTATTTCCCGTTCTGTTATTGGGATATCTAAATATATCAAGACTGTTATACAGTACGTCTGTCCGTTCTGTAGCTACGGGGTATCCGTGAGAGGGGAAACGATATTCTCTCGATGTTTTTCGGAAAAAATTATACGACGCGTCCCATCAATAAAAATTCGACAAATTTGCAAGTAGCCAATAAAATGAGTGGGCGGAGCGATTTGCGGTGACGTACTCGTTAAGTCGACGTATAAAATATATTGCTGTTTATTTAAATGTTTTTTGTCCGCATTCCTTTCATAGACACAGATCCAGCAGACGTACTGTACTGGAGGTATTGTGTTTAGTGCTTGGTTAAGGATATGGCTGTAATGCAGCCAGCTATTTCTATTTTATATAATGGCCAGCTATTTCTGATTTGCTCTTCCTCTTTTAAAAGTTCACCGTTTTGTGCCTTGACTGGGCAGCTTACCTTCTTGGTTAGGCCGTATACTTTTTTTACAGCCTCGAAGAATTTACGATAGTCGTGATTGCTCTAACCTTCGCTGCCTGACTGTATCTAAACAGCAAAGCCCTACCGCGGGGTGACGTCACAGCTCGGAACTCCCAGTTTTCGGTCACGTGACTATGTGGGCGTGTCCGAACGATTAAAACATTCAATTATCTAGTATACAGGGTGGTCCGAACTGTATTCCGGAAACTCCGGGAGCGTATTCTGCAGATAAAAAGTTTCTTATAAATGTATGTCCTAAAATGCTTAGTTTCGGAGATACAGGGTCTAGAAGTTTCATTTTTATTCCGATTTTTTCCAAATAATTTCTGAAATAACGTCAATATTTAGATGAAAATTGGTAACTGATAGTTTTTTGACATGAGGAATTTGATTTTGATGTCATTATGACTCCTATTTGTAGAGGGCGCCACCTACATGTGTTTAAACTGTTTTGAAGAGTAATAACTTTTTGTCCGTACCTGCATAGAACTGCCGAGTAAAAAAATATACATTTTCGAATTGTTTTACGTCAAAAATGTCTCTTGGTAGAAATCGTTACGAGCAACCCTTCTCGAGATATTTACTATGGGAATAGTCAATACATGTCATTATTGACAATAAGTAAACATAAGTTGAGTAGATAGATATGACTAAAATGATAAATTGGGGAAATTTTTATTTTTTTAAATTAATCATAAAGTTTTCTTCGAAAAAATGACGATTGATGATCATTTGGCACAAACACATTTAAAATTTATGATTTCCGTCTATTAACTATTTAGTCAACATGTTTAATTTATCTCAATGATGACAGGTATTGATAACTTCGATTTCAAATATCTCGAGAACTATTACTCGTAGCGATTTTTATTAAGAGATCTTTTTTACGTTAAAAACGTCGTAAATGTCTATTTTTTTACTTAGTAGTTTTATACAGGTACGGACGAAAAGTTATTGCTCTTCAAACCAGTTAAAAATATGTAGGTGGCGCCCTTTACAAGTAGGAGTCACATTGACATCAAAATCGAATTTCTCATATCAAAAAACTCCCAGACACCAAATTTCATCCAAATATTGACGTTACTTCAGAAATTATTTGTAAAAAATCGAAATAAAAATGAAACTTCTATACACCCTGTATCTCCGAAACTAAGCATTTTAGGACATACATTTATAAGAACTTTTTTACTTATTTTTATCTGCAGAATATGCTGCTGAAGTTTCCGGAATACAGTTCGGACCACCCTGTATTTTTAGGAATGACAATTTAAAGGGACTTCAAAAAGCATTCAAATATTGGATAGAAATATGTAGATGTTTCAAGTAATTTAAAAATCCATGCAAATTCCATCCAAATGTCCATTATTGCAGATTTTCTTATCTCTACATTACGAGTATTTTTAATTAAGTTAAGCACAGGGCGGCGGATATGAATACGAATATGCGAGGATTGCCAAAGTTAAGTTGTTTGAAAACAGAAACTTTGATCCTTTTGGCTTTAAAAGCAAAAATCTACCATCTACCATTCTACCAAGCAATCTACCATCACTTACACACTTCTACTTTATTAAGACACATCCTGTAAAAAAGATTTTGCGGTTCTGGAATTTGCTCAGGGCGTCGTGTTTGAATCACCCTATAGGTTCATTTTTGCCGGGCAAAAAGTATTTTAGAGCTCCAGAGATTTTTTTATTTCGCATATATTTTTTACACTTTAACTGGCGTATATATCCCCTGTAATTTGTGAGGGGTTCTTTTTTTCTAATAGTCTATGTGTGTAATTCCCCATTGTATGCTTTGTAGTCTCAAAATAGAATGAGGAGATATATTTGGAACATTTTTTTGCTTTTAAAAACAACATAAAAATATTAAGAGCCAAAAAATCGTATAACGGTAAATTTTTTTGGTACATTTGTTAATTGTAATAAAAAAACATATTTTGGCATGAATTATATTTTTCTACTACCCATTATTTTATATGATCAAAAAATAAGTATATGCAGACCTTTCAAAGTTTCCAGGACTCATATACTTATACAGGGTGTTTCAAAGAACATGTGCCATGTGTAAAAATAATATTTATTTTTCATATCAACATAGATCTGATTCTGCTTTGTTTCGTAGCTACAGGGTGTTAAAGCCTTAATATTTTTTTTTCGATTTATTATAATTTTCTTTCAAGTACTTTTAGCGTTTTCAATGAAATTTTGAGGGTAAAAGTTACTATAAATACGACATATTTTAAAACTAAAAAGTGTCAACATATTCACCAGGGACGTGCATATGAGTTATCACTGGAATATTTTTCTAAAAAAACAAACATGTACGCCACTGACTTTTTTGTTTTGTTAGCGAAACAGTGTAAGCAGTTTAATGCCGATTAAAAGTTGTCTCTTGATATTTTGTCGATTTCGGCCTCCTTGATGATATAAACGCAAATTTATTAATTTGCATTGATCCAAGTCCAAGAGCCATAACCTTTAAAAAATTTTAATATCAGTAACTGACGAAAGTTTTAAATAAGTACTCTTTGATTCCCCATCAAAAAATATGAAAAAAAAGTTCCTATAAACATGGATATGGAAATGCGTAGTTTTAGAGTCACAGGATGTTAAAACTTTTTAGAATTAGGTTTTTTGTAATTATCTTAAATACCATTATTTTTTATTAAAATTGCTCTAGGGTGGGATAATAACTAATAGTAATAATATTTAATAATAAATCAGATAAAATATATAATTTATTATTTATAATTTTATTTTATTAATAATTGTGATTAATAAAATTACGTTTATCTCATCAATGAGGCCGAATTCGACAAAATATCAGAGATAACTTTTAATTGACATTAAACGGCCTACACACTTTTAACATCAAAAGAAAAAAGTCAGTGGCGTACATATTTTTTTTGGAAAATATACCAGTGTCAACCCTGATGAATTTATCGACTCTTTTTTAGAATTAAAATATGTAGCACTTATAGCAAATTTTACCCTCAAAATTTCATTCTAATCACTAAAGGTACTTCGAAGAAAATTATAATAAATCGAAAGATTATTAAGATTAATACCCTGCAGCCACGAAACAAAGCAGAATCGGACCTATGTTGATATGAAAAATAAATATTATTTTTACATGAGGAATCTCCCCACGAGAGATGGAACATGTTTTTTGAAACACCCTGTAGGTATATGATTAATAGTAAAAGAAAACTACTAACTTTGAAGTAGAATAAAAAATATATTTACGCATAACAATAACGTATTTAAATACCAACAAAACATTTTTTAATATACTTATTACGATTTTTGCTTAAACTGGATTATCTTTTATAACTTTAGGGATGGACATAAAAATGTTATCTCTTTTTTGATTCCTTTATATATCGTATGTTATTCGTAATAACAAAATATAATTTCTTCATTCGATCAGAGAAAAATGGATTTTGGAAATGCCCGAATATCCAGAAAATAAGAAAATAATGTTTTCTCAATTCGGTTGGGGTTGCTGACTTCAGTATTTACCTTATTTTTCATATACTTTATCTTCTTTATATTATTTTTAATTCCACAGATTAGAAAAAATAGAAAGGTTTATTTTTTTAGTAGATTTTGAAAAAGAAATATAACAGCAAGACCAAAAAAGACCTTGAATGACCTTTTATATTAATATTAATTTCTTTTTTTACAGGAAATCAACTACGATTCGCCAAGGGGTGGGGTATCTGTCATTACAGAAAAGGGGGATATCACAGTGTCATATCTGCTGATTCAGAGGGCCACTGAAAAAGACAGTGGACGATACACCTGTCATCCTTCCAATGCCAATCCTAAGACTTTAACAGTTCACGTGTTGAGTGGTAAGAAAATATATTCAGTAATTAATTACGTAATTTTTTTATTTACCATTGTTATTCGCAGTACATTTCGATCCCAGATCACTCTCATGAGTTTTTTGCATTTTGCAAAAGGCATTATGAAAATTTTGACATTTGTTTACATTTTTAGAGAAATTTTAAAAACTTTTTAGTGCCGCAGGTTCATTGTCCTATGTTGCCAAATCCTACGAACGGTACTCACATTCTGTATATCTGTGTTTTACTTACTGTTTAAGTCCAAAGTATTTTTGTTTTCTAAACAATTAAATTACTTATTTTTTTTTAATTATATCAATCGCATTAGTAATAATTCTAGGAACAAATACGATGCAGAGGCTCCTAGGAGAACGGTAGTGTATATCGAAATAAAATTTTGGCAGCATACATATGTAGGTTAATTGAAAGCATTTTATAAAAATATATAGAGATCCCTACAGGGTGTCCCACCAAAAAAAATACTCATCAAAGTTAGGTTTTGTAATGGAACACTTTATACAGGGCGTTCCGAATTGTATTCCGGAAACTTCAGCAACATATTCTGCTGATAAATATAAGTAAAAAAGTTCGTATAAATGTAGGTTGTAAACCAAACCAAATATCTCGAAAACCATTACTCGTAGCGATTTTTACCAAGAGCCAGTTTTTTTTTACGCAAATAACGTCGTAAATGTATATTTTTTATTTAGTAGTTTTATACAGGTACGGACGAAAAATTATTACACTTCAAACCGGTTAAAAAGTGTAGGTGGCTCCTACTAGTAGTAGGAGCCATATTGACATCAAAATGAAATTTCTCATGTCAAAAAACTCCCAGACACCAATTTTCATTCCAATATTGACTTTACTTCAGCAATTATTTGGAAAAAAATCGAAATAAAAATGAAACTTCTACACCCTGCATCTCCGAAACTAAGCATTTTAGGACATACATTTATACAAACCTTTTTACTTATTTTTATCTTTTTTCGAATTCTATGAATAAAATAAAAGTGAATTTCGTTAAAGAAGCATATGCTTAAAATGTAAGGATTTTGTTGTTAAATCTCTTTATTATTTGATAAAATCTAGATGGCTGTGATACACCTTTTGTTAATTTAACAAAAATTAAAGGACGTAGACTAAAATATCCAACGGTAATAAAAACATACACCTTTAAAGCATATTTCAATTATTACAGAATTAAATCTAGACATAAACGTATAATTATGTGACAACAATTAGCTAGTTAAAATGAAATGCTCACAGTACTTCCTTTCATATTCACTGCATAAAATGGTTCTCTTTTCAAAATATCTTTTCACGTTAAAAGGCATAAATATGTGGAATTCTACTTCGAAAAGCAGCCACAATCTCTCATATGTTGTCGACAATAGTTGGTCGATTTTTTTAAACATTATCTTTAGAAAACGTTAAATATGTCAAAAACCCTACATTTTAGACATATACTTCTTTATTAAAACTCACCTTTATTCGAAAACGAAATCGAAAATCAATTAAAAATAGGATGTTCTATTTCAAAAAATATTACTTTGATGTGTAACTTTTTTTGGGCACACCCTGTAGAACTCCATATACTTTTAAAAAATGCTCTAAATTAACCTACATATGCTCATAAAATTTCATTTCAATACAAACTATCGTTCTCCTTGAAGCTTCCGCGTTGTATGGGAGGCGCCACCCTGTATGTTTGTTTTGTCTAGATCTACCACCTCTTATAATACTTTCTTATTTATGAGACCTGTGCGACAACTTGCATGTAAGAATATAAATTTTTCGTCGCAACGGATAATAAATGTAAGGAGATCGTTTAAAATCTGGAATAGGCGATCCAGAGTTAAACGATTCATCAAAAAATACGCTCAAATTGAAATTCATTCATGTCCGTGACTGAAATGGAAAAAAGGGCGAAGAAGACCCTTTCGAGAAGAGGCAGACATAAAAAAAGCAATAAATTTTACTTCTTTTCTTCTTATTTGTATGATCCTGAGACGGTGTAGCAGAGAATCGGCAAAACACGCACAGAAATCTAATTTTGCTACTCGCAAAATCATTTTTATTCTCTTACGAGTCACAGAAAAATATAACACGAAAAATATCAAATCTGCCACATTGAAATAGGCTACATTATTCTTCAAAACTAGTTATTTGTCTGGAGTTTTTTGTCTTCTCAAGTTTTTTATATTGTAATGTTCTGAATATACAGACCTGACCACCGTAGTAGTAACACAGGCAGATGGCATACGCACGGACGAATTAGCGTATGCCCGTCCGGCGGATAAAAGCAGACGAAAAAATGCGATAAACTAAAAATAGGTAGATATGTGATAAGAATGTTTCAGAATTTGTATTTATTCGTGTTTTAATAGCCAAAACGAATACATAGATTCTCGCGACAATTCTCGTGTAAAATTTATTTTTTAAGTAAAATAATGGATGTTTACGAAGTTCGTGAGAAAATTCAAGTTGTAAAATAGTATTTCCAAAATAGGTCTTATCGGAATATACAAACAATTTTTCCACCAACTTTTGTAAACAGGCCAATTCCATCTTTACTTACTGTATCAAGAGTTATTAATAATTTTGAAGCACATGGGTGCGTGTTCCCACAAAAACACAAAAAGCCTGATGTGTTGATTAATGAAGAACAGGAGGTCAAGCAAGTGTTTATTTGTGCTACCGCGGATCAAAATCCCACGTTTTCAAGTATTCAAATTGCGGTTGAGGTGGTTGTCCTGCCCACAATGCCCATATTGTTCAAGAATATTTGAACAATACTTTTCCCAACCGTTTAATTAGTGGATATGGAACTATTTTGTGACCCGCTAGATCACCAGATCTTTCTCCCAATGACTTATTTTTGTGGGGTTATGTAAAATCCAAAGTGTATGATCATAATAGGGCTAATAATCTGGATAAGCTTCAAGTAAAAATACGAGGCTTTCCAAACTATTAGCCCTTATATGTTAGCCAATGTCAGACGGGGGTTTTACGACCGCCTAGGCTTCTGTGTGCTTCTGTCTAGCACAAGAAGATGGTCTTTTTGAACACTTGTTATAACTTTTTCTTATTTAGAGTAATATTTTAGTTTTTTTTGGGTTTAGAGAATTTATTAATTTTTAGTTTTGGCTTGTAAACACACTAAAATAATAAATATTTAAGTATTTTCATTTTAAATGTTACCTTATGTGAAGGTAAACACTTAAAATGAAAATAATAAATACTCGGCACTCCTCGCGTCGTATTCCTAGTCTGTCACGACCGACCCGTCCAAGCACAACTGCAACAGCGTACTGCCTGACCAGTGACCAGCCGACTTGCCGGCAGTGAATCTCGAGTACGGACGCAAAACGGGTAAACGTAAATTCGTCCGGCAACTTGCTATGTTACTAGTAGCCTGGTCTTCTCTGTATACCAGTTTATTCTACGTGATAAAAAGAACATTATAGGCTTGGTGCATTCTCCGCCGGTGCTGCCACCATCGGAGAATATCGTAAACAAGCGGGATATACAAATACACGGGTTTGTAGCATTTCAGTTGATACAGTTTGTACAGCGGGATATACAAATACATAGGCTTGGTGCATTTCAGTTGATTTCAACAAATTCCAACCGCAGCGCACTCTACGGCAGAAATCAGAAAATATCAATATATGCCCACGCCGCTGTCATATCGATCGCATTAAAATAATATTGAAATCGGGGTTTTGTCTTAATATTTAAGTTTTTTAGTTTTTTGCTAGTCCAGTTATTGAGACTATAAAACACTACGGTACGAGGTTTGTGTGATGTACCGCTGTTTCGGGTAATTAAATCGTGGCCTAAAACGATTGAAAATATTTCCTTTATTTGCGTTTCTATAGAATTGGCAATCTACACTAATATGAATAAAATTTATTTTCGCATTTTTAGTGTAGAAACTTAAAATTGCTGTGAATTTATAAACATGTAGAATAATGTGGGTAATGTATGAGTTGGCAACATTGCATACTCTCTGAGATTGAGAATGAATCGTGGCACTCAAAAGTTTTTCAATATTTTCCGGAAAATATAAAGAAAAATATAAAAATTTCAACATATTAGAAAACAACGGCACAGTCTACAAACACATAAACTTTTACGTACGCATGCGCATTACTTATATTTTTACACGTATATTTTACTTATATTTCTTTACATCTGCGTATACGTATCAGCGGAGTTGTCTGTTTTTTCACAAAAACCTCATGGGCGTGTTTCTGGGTTCGAACGAACTACGAGTTAAAATACTTGCATTTATTTCTGGGACACCCTGTATAGCGGTGGAAATTCTGAATCTTTGCCGGTTAGGTTAGGACCAGGCCAAGGATATATAGAATAAGGATATTCGACAGGCCCATAGACTTAAAATAAAATATAGACTGAGCATCTCATTCATAAATAGCTGGAACATGCGGTCAGACACTGTCTTGTTATTGTTGTGTTATTGTTTTAGGTTATAACGAGTGCGACACGAGCGATAGATAGATTGTCTCTGTCGTAACGGTCGTTCCCTGACGACTCTGCCGAGAAACACACAACACTGTCTTTCGTTTCTCAAGTGCACCTGAACTCTCCATATCATAGCCGGGTAATTTTTTTATATTAATGAAGCTATAATTAAATTAAAAATATATCGTATTTAAACTTTTTATATTTTATTAAGATTTAGGACAGGTTTTTTAAATAAAAGTTTAGAAAAACGTCTTAGAGTCCAAAAAGGATAAAAATAATAAAATACACGTTATAGAAGAAATTTTATAATCGAAATGACGTAATTTTTTGAAATTAATAATAAATTATTAATTTTAGTCAAACATTTACAACCCCTAATATTAATCAAAACAGGATCTATTCCACAGATATAATAGAATCGGCGACAGGGAGAGAAAAAAATATGATTGTTGTAATTTTTTTCTGGTTAAGTGATGCCTTATGTAAATTAGAGAAAACATAAATCTGTTCCA